GCCAGCTGGGCAGGCCACGTCCCTCGGGCCTCCCCAAGTAAGGCCACCTCATCTGGTGGCTTCCTGTTGTCTGTCCACACTCGTGGTCATTCTACGCAAACCAGCTCAGCCTCCGCACCCTGGGGAGACTGGCCTTCACCCCCCTGCAGAAGCGCCGAGTAAGGTGTCCCCGAGGAGGAAGCCCAGCCACCACCGTCTCTCCAGAGGCGTGTCTGGTCTTCTCCTTGGTCTCTATGGAGTCGTCTCCCTGATTGTTGTTGTTTTTTTTAAATTCTAAATAGGAACATTCAAAAATTATAAGAAGTAAAGGTCCAGCCCCCAAACCACACAGCCTGGGGAAGTCTTGGGGACATTCGAGGACCCGGGGGCCGTGGCTGGGCTCGCTGGTTACGCGGCCGAGGGCGGCTTTGAGCGACTGTCCGAGCACAGCTGGGCCTCAGTGTCCCTCTGCAGGTCCGCTGTGGGCTTGAGAAGACGGGGCCCGTGGAAGTGCAGCGCCCGCAGGACACAGGTCCTGTTGCTGCCTCCCTGCTGCGGTCCAGGGCGCGTAGTCGTTGAGCGAAAAGGAAGACCAGTGAACAGTGGCCTTTGTGTGTGAGAGCGGTGATCGTCGGCTTGTTTTATTTCTCTGTCTTTGGCACATTTAAAAAAGTGTCTATTTTAAACATTTATTGTTTCATAGTCAAAAAAGTAAACACTATTTTAAGAGTGTCACAGATTAGAAAAATAAAACCACAGCGCCGACACGCTCGCTCCCACCCACGTGCTCACCCCCTCCCTCAGAGCCGGGTGTCCTCCAGTCTCCCAGTCCGTGGGCGGCACCATGGAGCTGGGGCCCCGGAGGCGAGGCTCGTGGTCCCAGAGTGTCACGCGTGCTCCACGGCCAGCTCTCATGGAGGCGCCAGTGGCCAGCCTGTCTGTCGTCTTCAGCGCCCCTCCTGGACTCTTCCATTGTCCATTGCCACGTGGACAGCCCGGAAGTGTCAGCCTTGCTGCTGGTTAACGTTATGGTAGAACCTGGTTTGCTTTTTTAGGATGGGGGGGGACGTGTGTCTGACTTTTTAAATTGCAACAGAGGCCTCGCCGTTTCCTTGGTCTCATGGTTCCCTCGGTTGGGCCCCCCCAAAGGCGGGGCTCTGTGGTGGGAAGGCTGGGTGTGGGGAGCAGCAGGGCACTCGCTCGGTGGGTCCAGGTGTCACGGTCTCAGGTGCATTCAGGGCCTAGGTAACTTGGGGACGCTAGCGAGAAGCCTTGGGCCTGCTGCTTGGAGCGTCTGTTGCAGTTTTGCTGTCCTGGGGAGGTTGAGTCAGACAACTCGGGGTCGGGCGGTCACCTCCAGAGTTCTTGGGGGACAGAGCTACCAGCGAAGAGGAGAGCTCTTAAATTCTTAATTCTCATAGTACAATTTTTTATTTAAAAAGTTTTTCTATTTAACAAATATGGAAAGATGTCTTTAACTTCAGAAACACAAGTTCTTTTGAGAAAAACTTCCATCACCAACATTATGTGTCCGGAGAGGGAACTAACTTGAAATTCAACGAGGATAAGTAGAGAGATTTAAAACTCGGGCAGCTTTGTAAAGGTCTAATAATGGCTGATACGGCAACTTGAAAAGCGATGTGTCCTGGATCTTAAAAAGATAAGAGAACATGTTTTTAAATGGCAAGTGGGCTTTCTGAAGTTGAAGGGTGATTTTGCATTTAAAATGTATTTTTATGTTCATATTTGTTTCAGTTTTAAATAACTAACGTTTATATTCTCTTTTTTGCCATCCCAATATGCAGTCCTTTTTTTTTTTTTTAAAAGAAAAATGGTACAAATTGTGATGTGTATTCCAAATCTACACCAATAAAATAGAGGACACACTTCTTCCGAGTAGGGCTGTACTTCTTTGTCACGGGGGGGCTGTTGCTGTGGACTCGGTTGTGAAGGGAACACGTGACAAGTTCTCAGCCTCGAGGCAGCAGCCGTTCTGTCTCACCGGTGTGACCCTAGTGTGCCACGTGGGCAGGTGAGGGCCAGTGAGGGCCAGCGAGGGGGGCCGCACCTGTCTCCATCCCTGCCGCTGGGGGTGGGTCCCATAGCAGAGGGTGTGTTGTTTCCCAGTTTTGATTTCCATGCATCTGGGGGGCTGGGGAGACACTGTGTGAAACCAAGTACCGCGTTGAAAGAGTCGAATCTACTTCATGCAATTAAAAAGTCCTCATTTGTTTCCGCTAAATTGATACTAATTGCTGTGCATGTGATTTAGATAAAGAACATCTCAATCTTTTTTAGTTGAATGTGTATTTGTAAAAAGTAAAAATTAGATCCTGAGTTTAAAAACCACCAATAAAACAAGTTACTATGATTGCTTTATTGAAGTACGACATTGAACACTGCATTGATGAGATGCAGTGGGTTAGGTGGTAAACCACCAGGACCCACGGAGGGGGGCACCTTAGCCATTTTAGGTTTGGCTTTGTATGAACAGCTGGAGGTCTCAGTTCAAGTTCGGCCCCGGTCAGGCAGCTCCGCTGTGTCCAGCACCGGCTGGGCACTGGATGCGCGCGTCCTCCCATGCCTCGGCCAGTGCACTCCGCAGAGCCACGCCTCTCGGTGGCTTGGCAGCAGGACGTGAGGGGCAGCCAGCTCCGCCTCGTGCCACCTTGCACTGCACCTGCCCTGTGTGGGATGAGCTCTGCAGCTTGTCACTGTGGCCACCAACGGCAGCCAGAGAGGCTTTTTTTGTTGACATTGAAGTGCTTGCACATTTCGGGGGGGCTTCCTGCAGTTTCTGGTGCTGTCAGTGGGGACCTGGTAGGGATCGGAGGCCTGTTTTGTGTTGTGGTGTTTTTTTGTTTTTTGTTTTTTTTTAATATTTTCTTTATTTATTTTTCGAGAGAGGGGAAGGGAAGAAGAAAGAGAGGGAGAGAAACATCAGTGTGTGGTTGCCTCTCATGTGTCCCCTGCCGGGAACTGGCCTGCAACCCAGGCATGTGCCCTGACTGGGAATCGAACCGCAATACTCTGGTTCACAGGCCCGCGCTCAATCCACTGAGCTACGCCAGCCAGGGCTGTGTTGTGATTTTAATCTGAGGGTCTGTTGTCCTGATTTGTTTTCTTAGCAAACTGCAATTCTATTTCACGGGCCTGTCACAGTGATTGGCAGCTGGTAGAGTAGATGGCGCTTCTGGAGTCACCAGCCCAGGCCGCACCTTGTCACTAATAGCTTTGTGACCGTAGGCCAGGTACTCACTTTTCTGAGTTTCAAGTCGCTCATTTGTAGATTGGAATAATGGGTCCCTGGCTCACATAGCTTTTGCGAGGATTAAAATCATAAAAAGCAATGTGAGATTTCTATTGGTGGGCTCTCAAAAGCAGACAAGGGGGCTGTGCACGAGAGTGACGCAGAGCCCTGATGTGCGGGCCGGCTGTCATGCCTTGTCCCTGCGAGAGCTGAGAGGACACTGGGCTTGCGCGGCCCACGTGGCGGGAGTGTGGGGACTCAGTCACACCTCGGGCTCCGGGGCAGCGGTGGGTAGTCTGGCCTCTTCCCTGTGCCCTTCGCTTGCATGTGCTCCCTGGAGCCCCAGGGCCCTCTTAAGAAATGGGGACAGGCCCCTGCTGCGAGCACAGGGGTCCCAGGCAAGGCCCCAGGGGCTTTCAGGGATTTTGCTGTGAACTCCCTGTTCAAAGTGTGGGACTCATTGCTTGAAGGATGCATTTAATCTTGTTTGGTTCTTAGGTGGTATTTCCCCCCCTCATCTGTGGATGTAAAATTTCTGTCTCGTCCCTTTATTGTTAGAAAAGCAAACAAGCACGGTGTTTGGTGAATGAACGAGGTAAATGTGGACAATGCTGGCTGGGAAGGGGGAGAGGTCACACACATTCTTCACCTGGTTTTGCGGTGCAGGAAATGGACACAGTGTTGCCTACAGAGGACCTGTGTGTGCTGTTTCCCATCACTTTCTGATCCTCATGTGGATCTTTTGAAGTGGGCATTTATGAATCCTGCGCTCCAGAGGCCCCCCCCAGAGCCTTTCTTCCCGTTCACCGCCTCCAGGTGAGAGAACAGGGCTTCCCTGAGCCCTGGAGCCCGATCGCCCCCCTTCTTCAGAGCGTACAAGGCCGCGTGTTCTGCGGATGAAATAAGCGAGGACTGTCGGTAGCATTCCAAAAGAAGCGGAAATGTTGCCCGCGGACATTTAACCGGAGAAAGGAAATGACAGTGTGAGAATGCATGGAGACGTGAACAGTTGGGTTTGCCAAATGGTAGATAATTTGCTAGCTGTTTAAGCATTTCCTTCACACACTGTAACACATGGTTAATGATCCCGTGGCCAAGTTAACTGGCTCGGCCCTGTTTCCAAAGTAAGCTAAACTGCACGCAGGCAGATACCGCCGCCGTTGAACTTGGTGCTCACTCCACTGGCAGCCTAGTGTTTCTTTTACTTCCTTCTCGAAACATTTTTCAATTTCCGTTTACATCTAACATTATTTTGTCTTAATTTCAGGTGTACAGCATTAGCGGTCAGACAGTCACGCCCTTTCCACGCCATGCTCCCTTGGACATGGCCCGCCCCGCCCCTGGTTGTCTCGGGTCACTGGCCGCACCCCGCGCCGCCCTCCACGTCCCAGCCGGGCGAGTTTTCTTTAGCTTGTGTCTGATCACATTAGTTGTTGACTACTAAGAAGCTTTTCTTCTAAGGCACTTTTGTTGACTTTTTTATTACATTTCTATAGCAGATGAGTCCAATTCACGTTCACGAGTGTACCCGAGAAAATTAGGAACTGGTGCGTGAAAAGGTAGACGCGCAGTTCCAGGGTTAGTGGTCTCAGAGCAAGCGTCTAGTCAGGCAGCTGTGTGCTCTCTCTTCCGTCTGTGAATTTTCTCAGGGAGAGGCACTCAAGGGAGCAAGTGTGTGCCCAGCCAGTAATTCCAAGCTACTTAGTAATTCTCGGTACTTAGCTAGTCCCAAGCCGAGTAATTCTTGTGATGTTCCTTTATTTCCCGGCAGCTCGCTGACGACCGTATGGCCCTGGTGTCGGGCCTTAGCTTAGACCCAGAAGCAGCAATCGGCGTCACAAAACGGTCACCTCCTAAATGGGTGGACGGAGTGGATGAAGTAAGTCGAATGTTAGTTTCACACTCTCTTATGTGTTTAAGTAATTGTGACATTAACCTATTTTAAGATATTTGCCATAAAAAATGGATTTGGCTACTCCTGAATGCATGTCCTCAGCTTTTGGTGCATTGAGTGTGCATGGCACCAGAAAGGGGGTGCGTGCTAGTGCTTTTGCAGTAACCGCCTGAACTGTAGGGAGACACTGAAGAGCCGTAGAACATGGGGAAGTGGTACTTGCATTTCTGGATATTTGAATGAAAAGTTGCTCGTGCATTCGGCAGCCTCCCTCCTGATTGGCTGGGGACAGCAGTGTGTACCCAAGTGTACCTGGCTGCCTCCGAGGGGCAGGTCTCCGGCGGGCGTCGACGGAGCTGGGGTGCTTTTGTTTGCCTAGATCCAGTACGACGTCAGCCGGATCAAGCAGAAGATGAAGGAGCTAGCCAGCCTGCACGACCAGCACCTGAACAGACCCACCCTGGACGACAGCAGTGAGCAGGAGCACGCCATCGAGATCACGACCCAGGAGGTCACCCAGGTGAGCGCGGAGGTGGACACCCAGCCCTCAGGCGGCCCGGGAGCCTCGCCAGCTGTCAGAGGGCGAAATAGTTCTCCAGCCTCACCGCCCGGCCTGAGGTTCGGGAGGGGACCTGCAGAGGCGCTGGGCTCTCCACCAGCAAGCGAAGGAGCCCGAGTCTGGGGGAGAGGACTGTTCCCTGTTGCAGCAACTCCTGAGGGTTGATCTAAAAAAATAACCCAGAGCATTGCTGAGTTGAGTCACCCGATTTAAAAATGTGTGTAACTTCTGCTGTGTACTAGTGCTGAAACTTTTTTTGTGTTAAAAATGGTCCTCACAATTGGAGATTGGGAGTTTCTGCCCTAGACTGAGTATATCAGTAGCCTAGGAAAATAATCTCTTGTAAAATGTTAAATTTGAGTAATTTTCAGTTCAAAGGGCATTGGTTGCATGTTCTGTTCGTTGGCGCTTCCTGGGGGCTCAGGAGGGGAGGAGGGTGGTGCGGAGGGGGCCGCCTCTGCTGCCCTGCTGAGTCCCGGCCGAGGGGCGGGGTGCTACATCTCCTCTACCACAACCCCAGGGTTCTCCCCGCAAAGTGGGGATGACAGCGCGTGCCTCCTGGGAGGGCGGCGCCTACGTGGGGCACGTGTACACCTGGCGCAGCTGTTGGATCTGGTGCGGCGCCAGCCATGTGAACTGCGCTCTGCTCACCCCTGCTTCTGGCGGCCAATCCAAGCAGCCTTCAGGCTCAGGGGTTCTCTGGGTGGGGGACAGGCGCGAGCATTCCGGCCCGTCTCAGCTCTTCCACAGGTGCCAGCGCGCGGTGCGGGCTCTGCCCAGCCGGGCACGCCGGACCTGCTCAGAGCAGGAGGAGCGGCTGCTGCGCAACGTGGTGGCCTCGCTGGCGCAGGTGCTGCAGGAGCTGTCCAGCGGCTTCCGGCACGCGCAGGCCGGCTACCTGAAACGTGAGTGCGGCCTCCACGTCAGGCCTAAAGAACTTGACCTCAGCCTAGCATGTGTAACAGCCGGTAGCTTTCTAGGAGTTGGAATGGGGAGCTGCTAATGAATGGTGAAACCAGTCATAATCCTACAAAAGCTCTGTATTTCCATAGCAACCCTAGTAGCTGAGAGAGCCGGGAAACCTTTCTGGGGGCGGTTTCCACGCTTCCTGAGCCTGGGGGCTCAAGGGCTGGGGGTGGGCCCTGGATTCCAAATGGCACAGTCGGTTCGGCTGTGTTCTGCTGATTACCCTACAAACTGTTTTTCTTTATCACCATTGGAATCAACAGTTCCCCACATACACTAAAAACTAGTCCTTCCCCTGTCTGGCAACTGCATATTTGTATTTTACTTTTATTACTTCTAAAGTTTGGTTTAGATCCGTTTGGAGTTTGTACTAGCGATGCTTCTAGAGAAAAATACTGATTTTTGAGAAGTGTTTTGTAACAGCAGTAGATTCAGTGTTGTGCTTCACTTGGTGACTCTCCGGTTGCATCGTTTTGCCGCTCAGTCGGCGTCAAGTGAGTCGCGTGCGTCAGCGGTGTCATTTTGCTTTGACTTCCCCAAAGTGCTTGCCCGCACATTTTTCATATTTTTTTACTGCCCACGCCCACTTCCGAAGCTGTTAAGAGCATCCCCATTTTCACCGTTGAGCTTTAATCTAGGTTTCCCCTTGTGAACCGTGGAGCATTCCCCAGGACAGTTTGCACGTTGCAGTAAAGCGAACTCCTCTCTGGTAGGCATGAAGAACCGAGAGGAGAGGTCCCAGCATTTCTTTGACACGTCGGTGCCACTCATGGATGATGGAGAGGACAACACTCTTTACGACCGGGTACGTGAGGGGATGCGTCCCGCTTCTGCCCTCCATTCACCTGTGACCTGTGTGTGAGGCAGGTGGGCCCGTGGCCTGCAGGCCCAGTGGAAGTTTCCACAGCAGGCTGAAGGGCAGCCTTCTTCCTTCCCAAAGCCTCTGGGGAGACCTCGGAACTGCCCTGCAGAACCTGGGGGCAGATGCTCAGGGCTCTCCCTGCTGGTTTTGCCACCTGACCTTGCGTGGCTACGGGCCGCGGCCCTCGCCCTACGCCCCACTTCAGCCGCTCCTGCCCTAGGTCTGGCTTGCTCTGGGAGTTTGGCCCTCTCCTGTTAGGGAAAGAGAAGTGCTCTGATGTGTTTTCTGTGCTCTGCAGGATGGTTTCCAGAAACCCCTCTCTTTCGGTCGCGTCTAAAACGGCACACACCGTAGGGTTCTGGCGGGGGCAGTTCTGACGTAGAGGTTCTGTACTCTCGTCTGGCCAGGGTTTCACAGAGGAGCAGCTGGTGCTGGTGGAGCAGAACACGCTGATGGTGGAGGAGAGGGAGCGGGAGATCCGCCAGATCGTGCAGTCGATTTCCGACCTGAACGAGATATTCCGGGACTTGGGAGCCATGATCGTGGAGCAGGTACCCGGGTTCGCCTGCCTCCCTTGTCAGTGGGTTCTCCCGCCATAAAAGCTGGTACTTTTCTCACTGTGTACTCCTACCAGGAAAAGAACTTGAGCCTACCCCTGTGTATGTATATGTGTGCGAGCATACACATGCATACATACGTGTACGCATGCACAAAGTACGTACATGTACTGCTTCCATTCTTTATATGAAAAAAGGCAGTCAATTTTTTTTTTAAGACAAATGAGTGTCAGCAGACATGCTCATGTTCTCTGCCCCAGGGGTGCGGTGGGAGCGCACCCCACCCACACTGGGGGCCTGGCCGGTTCTGCCCATGCTCAGCAACCACTGGCAACAGATAAGGCTTCTCTCCTAATTTTGGCAGGTTACTGCGTGACTGGAACCACTAGCTTTCAAGTGGAATTAAATTGTTTGTTCACTGTTACAATCTGATTAGGGTATTTTATTATCTTGCCAGTGGGGATTTGGGTCCTGATCCCCCTCACACCAGCCGAGAGTGGAGTGTGGAGGCTGCAGAAGATCTAGTTACATTAATTACTGCTGTGGCTCCCAGGGCGCTGCTTCCCCCTCCCTCCTGATGCGGCACGCTTCCGCCGAGAGCCCCACGCTGCCCTGCAGCCCAGTGGCCCTGCTTTCTGTTCAAACCCAGAGATTAAACAGTTCAGGACAGAGGTCTCCTCCAGGCACCTGTGAGGTTCCCCAGGGTGGGTTGGAGCGCACCATCCTTGCTCCGACCCGGGACGACCCATGCTCACGACTGCAGACACGACAGTCCATTCCTAGGCCTGGTTGTACTGAGTCTGGCGACCCTGGTGTCCTCTGCCTCCTTGACCCTAAGCAGCAGGTGGGCCCTGAAGCTTGCCCTTGGCCGCTCGAGGCCAGTTCCCACAGAACCGTGCATTTTTTGAAGCACCAAGAAGCCTGAGTGTGGCATATCCTACGGTGATGAAACGCGGACCAGAAACTTCCTCGTGAGCTAGACTTCATTGCAGCTGCCACTGCACTCTGCCCTGCATCCCGACGGTGCCGGCTGGGGGGCCCCGGGCTCCCCACGGGCTTTGCGGCACAGCCGGGTGCGCAGAAACGTCTGTTTCTACATCCGCGTCCCCACCTGCGCTGCTGATCGCCTGTCCCTGTCGTTTATTACCAGGGCACGGTCCTCGACAGAATTGACTATAACGTCGAGCAGTCCTGTGTCAGAACCGAGGACGGCCTGAAAGAGCTGCACAAGGTAACACCCTGTCTTTCGGTCGTTGGGACTTTGAGGAAATGCTGTCCAGTGCCAGGAATTTGGGGGGTCTCTTGCACCGCAGCCGCCTGCAGCACGCTCTCTGCACCACAGCGCACCAGTGGTCTCGCCCGGGCCGACGGTGGGGCCGCTGCCACTCTGCCGCCGTTGGTGTGCCCGGGGGCACCTCGCACTGGGACCGGGATCGCCGAGAGCCCCGCCCGTGACGGTGCACTCTAGAAGAGCGGGGGCGTCTTCCCTTTCAGAGAACAGCCCATTCTGCGAGGCCTCTGGTCTAGCGCAGCGGTTGAACGGGCACTTGCTGGGATGCGGCTGAGCGTCCGTGGTGCTCGCAGAGGCCCACGCGGCCTCTCGTGCGATGACGCATTTCTGGTGGTTGCTCTGGGGGGGTCGCCCTGCACAGGACGGGGATCTGATCCTCCAGTGACCGCGGTGCGTCTGTGCGCGCGCCTGGACGAGACAGTAGTTTGTTGAAATGAGAGCATGGTTAGCTCTCTTATTCTTTGCTAATGTGGCTGTTTCAGGAATATTTTTCATGATATTTGTTAAAAGTAGATGAGAAGCATCTTAGAACTCTTGGGATCGTGTATGAGAAACACAGCTAAACACTGCCAAGCGGCTCCTGTGTAGAACTGGGGGCCTTTTTACTTTAAAAGCAATAGAATGCTTCACAGGTGAAATAAATAAATCTGTGCGTCTCTCGTGTGTTTGACGCCCACCAGTATTTCTACCACATCCCGAGCAGTTTTCCAGTTCCTTCACGGACCACCCCGTCATGGGTCCCACACCCGCCCCTTTCTCCAGCAGAGAGGGCCCCTCCGAGTGGCATCGGGTGCTCAGAGGAGGCCGGCACAGGTCTGCCAAGAACCCTTGGTTCTCCTGTGTCACTGTGGTGGGGTGTCCCGGTCCAGCCTGCCTTGTGTCTGCGGAGGGCTTTGGAAGCGTCTAGATTCATGTGGTGGCCAGGCCTTGTCTGTTACAAGAGTGAACCTGACTGAGTTTCTCACTCTCTGACACCCAGGTTTTGATCTGCTGTGAGATTGATTGTGTGTTGGTCGCGGAGCTTCCTAAACTCGCCAGCACGCGTTTTGTACTAGAACGCGGATGAGGGGAGAGGTTTGTCCGCGGGAGTATGCAAGTCTAGTGGGAACTAAGATTTTGTTGGAGGTTCTCCTTTATAAATCATTTTGAGAGGTTTTAAAGCGTACCGTTAGTGTTGGCCTCCCTGGTGTTCTGGGTTATTTATTGGGAAAGGAAGCGTACTTGTCTTATCTCTCACGTCCCCTTTGCTGCCGGAGACGGCGGCCGCCTCCTTGGCAGGCAGCTTGTCTGAGGCTGCCGGAGCCTCAGGAGTCGCTTCGCAGCGGCAGCCGGCCTCTCCGGCCCGGCCTGTCCTGACGTTCCGCTGGCCTGACCGGGGGTCCTGGCGGGGAGGCGTGGCCCAGGTGGCCAACAGAGCTGCGGTCAGGTGGGGGTGACATGGAAGGAGGACAGGAGAGAGTGGGTGTTCCTAGCAGGTGTTTCTGGGGCCCCTGCTTGCCCCCCAGGCTGTGTCCTCGTCCTTCCCAGTGAAATGGGGAGGTGGCGGCCTCAGCGCGGGCGGCCGGCTGGCCCTCGCCGGGTGTGTCACAGCCGCACTTGCTGCTGCTTCTCTGGCCGGCATCTGCGCGGGGGCAGCCCGGCGGTGCCGAGCTCCACGCACAACCTCTGTTGTGTCATCGTGGGCACGGGGACTCGGGTCAGGGGTCGGGGGACGCTTTCTGCACTTCACCCCCATGGGGGCACTTTCCAGTTTTTATTTCAAAGGTTGAATTTTCCCTTGTTGCCGTATTCCGGGCAGGCAGGACTCACGCTATTGGCCCCATCAGGCAGCGGAGTGATGTCACCCTGAAGGTGTATGCTCCAGGCGTCCGGCTTCCCCAAGGAGCTGGGCCCTGGCCGCAGAGGACGTGGAGGAGAAGGCAGACCTTGCCTCTCCCACCAGCCTGCGCCCGGTGCCCGCCCCGTGTCAGCGCCCCCCGGAGGCGGTAGTGCTCCTGGGGGGCACAGTAGCAGCAGGTTATGGCTCTCCTTGGTGCCAGCTGGTGCTGGCTGTGTGGACGTGGCTGGTGGAGGGGGTGTGGTGAAGGAGCTGGTAGCCCAGATGTCAGCTACCCAAAGGGACCCAAAGGGAGCCTAGGGCGGGAAACGAGAGGCACTTGACTTTGGGGAAAATGACCATCTTTTCCCCTTCCTCTTTCTGTAGGCAGAGCAGTATCAAAAGAAGAATCGGAAGATGCTTGTGATTTTAATATTATTTGTCATCATTATCGTCCTCGTTGTTGTCCTCGTCGGCGTGAAGTCTCGCTGAGCGGCCGGGTCTGTGTGCCGCGTGGATCGGGCGTGCGGGCCGAGCCAGGCAGCGGCGGCGGAGGGGTGCCGCCGGGCCGTCTCGTGGACTCCTGGACGGTGCTCCGGGTCGGGGGTGGACTCTGGCTTCCTTGGCTGGCGGCAGCGGGAGGGCCGTGGCGCTGCCGCAGGCGGAGGTGGAGCCTGTGGGGTCAGCAGCGACCCGTTCTGTTCGCCGAGCAGAGCAGCGGGACGGGTGGCCCTCCTCGGCCGTTTGGTGTCGTCCTGTGTGCTGTCCTTCCTAGCAGACGTGTCTGAGCAGCGTGCTAAAATAATTTGGGGGAAAAGAATTGAAAACCATTTGGTTTTTAAGGATTTGGTACCCAAAATTTATGGGCAGAGGCAAAATGCCTCTTCGTCTTTCTCTGTTTATTCTCCAGTTGAAAACATGCTGAGAAGTCCTGTGAGAATTTATAATCCGTTCCCATCACCTTCATTTCGCTTTTCCATCACTGGTAATGATCAGAGTAACAAAGTGTGAAAAACAAGAAACCATCGTTGATGTTAATTAACACGTTTGGATGGGCCAGTTCAAGCAGCTCCGTGGGTTTAACTGAGTTGCGAACGGAGCAGCCCTCGGTGGAGATCCCTGCACTGCGCTCCTACTGCGACCGGAGGGTTGCTGAGCGGGGACGCCTGCGTTTAAAAGTTGGGGATTTGAACTTACCTGCCACTGAAAGGAAGCTTGGCAGGGCCATGAAAGTCCCCTGCACTGGCCTGCGTGTCCCCGTGCGTGTCCCCAGCCATCCTTGCTCAGTCTGTCGCTTACATACTGTCTACATGATGACCTGTCCAGACCGGCCGCCACTTAATGAACTGTGAGTTTACACAGAGGCCACTCTAGATGGGCCACCCCATTTGGGTCTCCAGTTATTAACCACACATCACTCCATTTCAAAGGGGAGTGTTCCACCACAGATGTGGCTCCTTGGCTCTCCCGTTGCCACTGCACATGCCCAGGAGGAAGGCGGCCTCCTGCCGGCAGCCCCTGGGCAGTGAGTGCCACGCGGCTCCCGAGCGCGGCTCTGTCCTGTGCTCGTGGCCACCGTGCTGCTCCAGTGCCTCCGGGAACCATGGTCGCATGGGGGTGAGGGTGACTTTGAGAAGGGAAGCCGTTCGTGTTTTGTTTGCCCTTGTCTCTTTTTCGATGGCTTTTCCATTGTTTTTACCTCTACGTGTTACCTTTTATTTGGACCAGTCGCTTAAAATGCTGCTCTACAGTGTGACTTTGAAGTTGTTTCTGGGAATTTAAACTTGAGTCCAGAGATTCAGGTGGCCCCAGCCCTCCCTTCCCAAGTTGTTGCCAGCACCAGGGAACCCCTGGGCTTGTTACTGATGTGGCCGTAGGGTGGCCTCAGGTGTCCCTGGCATTTCAGGAACTGGCGTCACATTACTGGGAAGAGACGTCAGGGACTGGGTAGCCAGCCTCACCGTGGTCGTCCCTGAGCTGCGGGGCTTCTGTGGGTGCTGAGAGTAGCTGAGGGGCGTCCTTGCTCGTCCCAGCCAGTCTGACGTCCCTGTGGACCAGCCGCTCCTGGCCTGGGACCACTTGGACCAGGGCCTTCCTCCCGGATGGCCTGTACCGCTAACGCTGGACCACTTCTTAAAGTGCTGTCTTCATGACCCTTGAAGGACAGTGACCCTTTAAGAAAGGATCTCTATTTATTCGTATTTATTTCCAGGGAATAAGGTGACTAGGGTTGGTTTTTGTCCCCCAACCCCTAGGGATAAATCACAGATCCGACTGGAAGTGGCTTTAAGGCTCTTGCTGCGGTGGGTAGAGCGTCCATCCTGACGGAAACCAGGGCAGCACCAGCCCTGGCTGCCCACTGCCCAGCCCACAACCCCGAGCCGCCTCAGAGCCTGCGTCCGCCGGCCTGCTGGGCTCCCACAAACACTGTATTTTCCTGCTGAGCCTTTACTGGGGGCAGATCGGGACTGGGGACGGTAAGAGTAATGCAGTCACAGTGTCCTGGAGCCGCAGGACCATTCCTTCCTCCCAAAGTGGGCGGCTCCTTTACCTGCTGAAGCTGCTGTCCGTGGGAAGGCCCTGGCCGGGGTGGTGGCTCAGTTAGTCCCTTCGGCCCCCGGGCTCCGCCCAGAGACGAGGGCAGCAGAGACCCTGCTGCTCCGTGACCGGGGGACTCCATCCGCCTGGTGAGAGGAGACCTCGGAGGGTGTATGTCAGTTCCCCAGAGCCCCTGCCCTTCCCCCAGATTGTGACTGAAGCCGACTGTCTCCGGTCTTATTCATCGGGGCAGGGTGGAGGGTGGCCTTGCCGTGGCAGGAAGCCGTGTCTGTTTCTAGTGGGTTGGCCACGCCCTGCCTGGTGGGGGAGCTGTTTGTGTGTTGACACTGGTGCTTTCCACGTTCTGTCCGGGCTAATGGCTTCGTGAAGGCAACAAAACCCTCCCAACCTAATCCGTCAGATAAGACTTTTTTCCTGGTGTGCTTAATGAAATAAAGCAATTAGTGAAGCGCTTCTATCCAACACGCCTGTTCTGTCCTTTTTTAAGACTGATTCAGTGTTACTGGAAACTTTTTGTACAATAAAGTAATGGTGGAGATGAAACCTCACCCTGCAGTCCTGGCATTAATTTGAACCACGGGGTCAACGTTGTCTTCAGATGCCTCTGGGGCCTGGGAGGGGCTCCCTGGGCAGCTGGCGGTGTTGTGCAGGAGGCGCTGGCCTCCCTACGAAGGTCCCCCGTCTGTCTAGAGGACACGTTCCAGGGGCCAGTGTCTCGGCCGTCCAGGAGACGGGAGGGCAGATCATTACTTCCCCACAAAAATCTGTGGTACGTACATACCAAGCACCACGTGGAGATGGTCAGAAAACGTCTGGTGCCCGCGCCTTGTTGAGAAGTAACCCTCACACGCAGGCTCCAGGAGACTTGAACCTCTGAGGGCCTTGGCCGTCTTCTCCTGTTACACGGACAACCGCAGGGTAGTGTTTGCCAGGTGAGCGCAAAGCCGTGACTCCACATCCCCTCAGACGTCTGAGTCTCCTCCTCCAAGGCCGGGATGGTTCTTGGTCACGTGTGCATGCCAGATGGGAGATGCCATCGAGGCACCACAGGCGTCTTTTAGTTAAACACCCGAGTCCCTCTGAGGAGTCCCCTCGTGCTGCTGGTGCCTGTGGCCCTTCTCACCTCCAGAGCCACGGCACAGGTGCACCTGTATCTCACCACCCTCTCCCCTCATCTCTGACCGCACGTCACATCCCCCCAGCTGCTCAGCAGCTACTGACTCTGTCCAGGAATCACACTCACAGGACAGACGTGTCCCATAGGCCCCAAGAACATTCTAGATCAGTGATAGCGTTGAAAAGCTGCAGCCTGCTCTTCCGGAGCAGTTCTGGGGCGGGGAGCGGGGGTGGTGCTTCCCGTCTGTGTTCGGAGTCCTGCTCTTGAAGCGATGCCGCAGGCACCACTGGGCACCTTGCCTGTTGAGCAGAGAGCTGGCCCTCGAGTGTCTCTGCAAGTGTGGGTGTTTGGGGGGGTCCCTTCTGTGCGCCCAGGCAGCTGTGCAGCGGCCTGGGAGTAGGTTCACCCTACTGATGGCTGTGAGCATCATTCAAGTTTCGTTTATGTGGGGAGGATAGGACCGTGGGTTCGCGGTGCTGCTGCGCTGATGGAGTTTCCAATTCTTCTAAGATTTCGTTCCACAGACCTGGTTCTTGTGACAGTAGCTGTGTTTCGGAACTTAACACTACGCGTCCCTGGAACTGTGGGCCTCAAACAGTGGACTCCTGGGTGGCAGACCCCTAAAAACGAATTCTCTCTCCAAGTTCCCTTCACCATCCTCGATGCCACCTCTTACCTTGTTGCCTGCTGTTTTTGTTTAGTTTTGTTTGAAATCGAGGGCAAAACAACCCCCTTCGGCATGACGGGCGTTAGAATGAGCCAGGCGAGGGCTGCGGGGTCGCACAGGGAGACTCCCAGCTCGTCAGAAAGCAGCTCAGAGTCAGGACTCGGACTCAGCAGGCAGCTGTGACTCCTGTGTGCCCCATCTGTCCCGTCCATCCTGTCCCCGACTGCATGCCGCCCTTGACACCATCTCGCCAATCTGCGGCCAAGTCAGTCTTCTGACAACCCGAAGGGACATTCCATAGTCACACTTATCTGGCCATCTGAGGAAAGAAAATAACCGTCTGCCCGGTTGTACGTGCGAGCTCCTGGGAAGGTCTCGGGTGTGGGGGCGAGTTGCGTGGGCCTGCACTTGAGCCCATCAGGGTCAAAGGGACCGTTTCAAGGAGAGTCCATTCAACCCAATGTCCGTGGCACCAGGCTTAGTTAGAACAGACCACTAGGTTCAGTGTTTTCTGCTTGTCAACCGTTGTTCTCGAGTTGCTTTTAGCTAATCATCCAAATTCTGCCATTACTAATCACCATTCCTCTCATTTTACAAAAAGATGTCGTGATAGAAGCAAGAGGGTCCCGGTTTGCCTCGTTTGGCCTCTTTCTCAGAGGAAGGACTGGGGGGAGGAGATGTTTCTGTAACGTGGTGTTCTGACTCGGGACACCGCAGCTGTCGGCTACGGAGACCATGCCCCTCAAACCTCCCCTTTTCCCAGATGGGGGAGCAGAGACCCCCGTGAAGGCCTGCCGAGGTCACAGGGCTGGTGTGACCCCAGGCTGGACCTCCAATCTTCCCTCCTCCTCCTCCTCGTTTCCAGACCAGGACCGCTTTTGTCATTTTAATTGTTCATTTCTTTGCGTGCAATTAAATGACCTTCTTGAAGAAAGATTTAATGGTCAAGATGTGATTTGGTAAAAGCTTCAAGGATTTTTTTCCTGGTACAAAGATGAGAGCCGACTAGGCTCAGAGAGATTTGCAGGCAGTGATGTGTCATTCTCCCCGGCTCGGCTTTTCGTGTAATCGGTACAAAGAGACGGCTGCTGATGACTAAGCCTCCCACTGAACGGGCAGGAATGATTCCTTTGTGACGGGACCGGGGGTGCAGACGTGGGCGTGGGTGGCTGTTTCAGAAAGGCCTTGCGTGTGCACCCAGCACCTGCTGGGGCGGTCGTGGCATTTGAGCATCGTAAATAAAACAAAGAAACAGTCTCCCGCAAAACTGAGTTCACAATTGCCTGAGAGTGTAGCACCTCGTTCCCACACTGTGCAATGACTAGAAATTGATTTTTATTTTTTTTTGAAATCCAATTAAGCCTCAAGGTTGGTTATCCATTTAAAAGGTCGGCTGAGTTAAACAGTGACAGTACCTTCAGTTCATGCTAATAATTAAATGCACACAGAACTTCAGCACTGACATCCTGCCCCATGCAGGCTGCAGGTCATGTGTTCTGCGTGACGGCGGCTGCGGAGGTCCCTGGCCACGGGGCGGGCACGCCGGCAGGTCACGAACCCAGACTTGGTGAGTCCCCAAGCTGGCCGCCGTCCCTGCCACTCCATCCCCTCCGATTTCTGCAGTCCAAGTGATTTTCGACCGGTTCGCCGCAAGAATTTTTACAAGGTGCAGTACCTGACTGTCGAGTCAGGGCCACTGACCTCTTTTCCCCTTAGATGGTCGAATGAAAAATGACAACAGCCAACCCAAGAGATGGCCAGTGTGAATGAATCAAAATTATGCCTGGTTTTTTTGGGGGGGGGGTCAGATCAGCCCCCAAAATCTATTTCTTGGTGTGCCACAAAATTTTAGTCATTAGTTTATGTGTCATGAGATGGAAAAAGGTTTGACCATCGTTGTCGGAGAGCCCTGGTCCCCGCTGCCCTCCCCGCCTCCTTTTTCTGTGACCCCAAAAGGATTGGGACAGGGGAAGTGGCTTCTCATTTAAAGAGAAAAAACTGGGGGAACCCTTGGTATGTGCATGAGGTCCCCCACAGTGCCCAGTTTACAATGTAGCCAGCCACGCCTTAAAAACAGCGCTTCATGTGTGCCCAGCGTGTTAAGAAAAAGACTTCGTAATGTCTCTTTATGGTCCTCATAGGTAATGTGTAAGTATCACCAAGTTTGCGCACATCTTAGGAGACCCACGGACCCAACTAGAATGCTCTTTGTACTCTGTTACAACAGGTTGTAATGTCCCTCGAGTTTTACAAACCATCTCGAAGGGCTCATTGATCTTATTTCCAATCTAGCGTTTTAACCTGCACTGGAATATAAGGGAGGTCGCCCCATTTCAGGGATTTTCGTCATAGCTACAAACCAGCCCGAAAGACAGAACCTTCCAGATTTAGTGAGGAAAAAACATACGTATAATATAGCAGGCCCAGCGCAAATAACACCCCTTTTTTATTACAGACTCTTTTATTACGAAACCATAGGCATATAATACTGTGTAACACAGCAATATCACGCTCAAGCTCACCCAGTGACATTTTAGGTAAAATGTTCAAGTTGCTGTCCGTCTCCTGAGCGACATTCGGTACCCTACCAGCCACGGCGCAAGCAGGCCTCGCTTCTGCTGGACCCGTATATATAAATATACCTCACCGTTCCCTCTCACGGCTCTTAAAAAACACCAACGATTCTGGTTCATGTCTCCTTCCCCCACCTTCCTCACGGCGCTCCACTGCCAAAACCCGTTTACTGTTTAAAAGACCCACATTGAGATCCCACCGAGCGCCGCTCCACACGGGGGTATTTCTGGGAAAAGCACGACTCAGGTGTCTGGAGCGTGACCCATTCTCAACGCACTAACTAGAGACGTGAACTGCTCGAGGGGGGCCTGCAAGGGAAAGTTTTCTCGAGAGAAGACTTCTCCATCAAAACGCACGTGTACCCTTCATCTTCTCTGTGCATCTCCCTGCTTGCGTGCTGAGTTCGTCTCAAGGAACACAGGGCCATTCGGTCTGTTAGTTATTTCTCTTCTCCTTCCCGCAGTGCCCCCAGCCCCAGGCTCCAGGCCTTCCACATGCCCTTGAAAACTTCTACAACTACAACAGTCATTTTACCGGGGTTGAGAAGTAAATAGGAATTCAGTTCCCGGGACAAGAGGGTGATTGGTACCTTCACCTCGCCCTCCCTGGGAGAATACTCTAAGCCACTTAGGAGGGCAAGGGGCCTCCGGAGCAACTAGTTCAGCCCCTCGTTTGATCGAGAAGTCCTCCAGACTGACGTTAGAAGGAATGCTTTTCGGCATTAAGAAATGGTTCCCTGCCCTGGCTGGTGTAGCTCAGTGGATTGAGCATGGGCCTGCAAAGCAACCACGGTTCAATTCCCAGTCAGGGCACATGCTTGGGTTACAGGCCAGTTCCCAGTAGGGGATGCACAAGAGACCACCATATACTGATATTTCTCTCTCTCCCTCCCTCCCTCCCTCCCCCCCCCCCCCCCCCCTCCCTCCCTCCCCCTCTAAAAATAAATAAAATCTAAAAATAAATAAATAAATAAATGGTTCCCTGATTACATTTTTTAAATTTATTTCATTTATTAATTTTTTACATTGTTTTATTGTTGTTCGAGTACAGTTTTCTGCCTTTCCCCCACCCTCCCCACCACCCCAGCCCTGCCCACCCCCTTCCCCTGTTTCCACCCCCTTGTTATTGTCCATGTGTCCTTTATACTTGTTCCCATAAACCCTTCATCCTTTCCTCCATTATACATTTTT